GAATGAGGATGCTTATATTTAGCAATAAATTTTCCGGCCTTAAGCAATTCTTGTCGTTTCATTTCAGCTGCATTTATATAACATCTATATTTATTCCAAGATTCATGATTTATTTCATCATATATTTTATTAATAGTTGGCCTTTTTAAAGGATCCGGGTGCCAACATTTTTGCATTAAAATTGCCCAACATTGTGGTGTATCTTCTGTAATATTTGGTCGTAACGGAAATCTTTTATCACATATACAAGATGTTCATCATATGCCAAATCACAGAAAGGACGCAATCCAGATGTAAGTTCCCACATAATTATTCCTAAACTGTAGATATCTGAGCTAAATGAATATTGCTTTTTGATTAACACTTCAGGTGCAATATATGGCGTGATTCCATATATTTTCGTTTCTGAACTTTCCAGGTCATCTTTTGCTGGTCGGCTAAATCCTAAATCTGCAATTAAAGGGGTAGAGTCAGACCCAGTAATTGTCAATTTGCCTATTAATATATTTCCATCATGTATATCGCGGTGTATTATTTTATTTTCATGAATCCATTTAATGCCTGTAACAATATTTCTAAGAAAGTCAAGTTTCATTTCCCAAGTAACATTCTCAAAATTATTTGATAAATAATTATTTAGACTTCCATTAGACATGTAAGACATAACAAAAATATAATCTTTTGTTTTTGGATTTTGTGACACTCCATAACATTGAATAAGGTTGCGTCCATAGGTGTTAGGCTGACTTGTAACAATATTTTGTAACTGCGGCAAAAATGACAAATTTTTAGAGTAATGTATCGGTATTTAAAATAAAGGGGTCCGTATTGATTCACCGACAATCACTTCACCGACAGCTCCTTTAGACGACATCACGCCAGGTGAAATTTAATAAAAATATATACCTGCAACTAATGAAATGCTTAACCCTAACCCTATGTGATGTCGGCTAAATGATCGTTCGGTGAAATGATTGTCGGTGAATTGAAGTGATCCCAAAATAAAGTATATAATATTACCTCTTTTAAGAATGCTGAATTAATGTTTTGGGATTCTTTAAGAACTTTTAAAACAATCGTTTGATTTTTATCTCTATTATATTCTTTTGTTGTGTTGTTCCAACCTGTTATTCTTCCTTTTGTCCATGTAGCAGTATAGATTTCGCTAAAACCGCCAGTTCCAATTCGAGTTATATCTGTAAAATCGTTAAATGGTATCCATTCTAATCTAAATTTAAGTTGATTCTTGTATGTTGCTTTGATCAGATTGTCAATATCCTGATTTCCGCTACTAACATTCTGGAATTGTGTAGAATAGCAGCCTGCACACAACTTATTATTCTCATATTTAAGTTTTCTCTTTCTATTACAGCCAATGCATTGAGTTTTTTTGGAATGGCAACGAATACATAGATTATCGGATTTAAGTACTCGCTTTTTATTGCAGTTTACGCATTTTTCTCTATTGTGTTTCATATTTGTACTTTATTTATTTGTCTAACTTTTGTATATTGAAAGCGAAAAGCTGTATAATTTTATAGCCTACATATAAGTTTTATGTTTGCTGAAAATTTGCTTTATATATAAATAAAAAACGATAATAACAATGGAAGCGTATTAAATTTAAAAAATAACAATGAATGCACATGAGTCATCGAGTAAAGTCAAGATGTATAGTATAATTAAAATTGGGGATCGTGCATTATAAACAATGTTTAAATTTGCATTTTATTTAATGGGAAAAAGAAGTTATTTATACTTTTTATTTTCAGCACACACTTTTTGAGTCTTTTCCATATCGAACGTTCATTTTTTCCAGCAGAAATGTTTGATCGCCACGTGCTTTTTTTTATAGTGCAGATCGTGCCGTTAATAGGTTGTTAAATTTCAGTACAGTAATTTTACTTAATTTTGTGTAAGACATGTATTTGTAATTTTGAACACATGACATTTAATTTCCGAGATCAAATTTCGGCGTTTTAGGAGTTACAATTCGGATCGTACTGGTGTTACCGCTGTAACATTCTGCGCCCCAATATTTATATATTATTAATTCTTTATTATTATTTCCTTACATGTATTATTTCTTATTAGTATAGATATCCTTTCTTATAATGTATTATTATTATCATCCTTATTATTATAATTACCCCCCCCCCCCCCGTACAATGATTATCATAGTCTTTATTTCACTGTTGTACATCAGGTGGTCTTTAGCCGATGATTGACAGATTCACGCTATTCCTATTTTAGCATACGATAGTCCAATTTCCGTTGCTTTCATTTATGGTATATGTTAATTGGTAGGGAAAGGCGTTAGGATTGTTTAGCTAGTCGAGACCTTAATTACATCATTGATTATTGAAACTGCGCAAGCTTTATCAATGACTTCAATGATACTATGCCTTAGATAGATTCCCCCCCCCGACATTAAAGGAAATTCATTCCACGTCTTTTGTCTTGGCTGCGGAACATTCTTAATGTATATAAACACCTCATGTTCGCTTTGCTTGTCAGTAGGTTTTGCTTGTAGGTTGGACTTAGAGGTTAGATCTAAAGTATCCCTCCTTT